ATTTGTAAAAATGGATTAATATTTTTGGATAATAAAAAATAGAATAAGGGGCTAATATTTTGGGACGGAGGGAGTATAAGATAATTAAGAAAATTATCTAAAGAGATGTTTGAGTTGTTATGGGAGATTACAACTCCACCTCTGCAAACAGAGAATCTCTATATATCTGATATAGAGAAGATATATATATATATATATACGTATTATTTTACGTTGTTACATTTGAGAAAAATATACCAATAAATTTTTTAGTGTGTTAAATCAAAGTATTACGTTTGGGAAAGTGCACTAAGTAATTTTTTAGTATTACATTAATTAGAGTGTTATGTTTGGGAAAAGTATATTAAGAAATTTTTGTAGAATGTTACATTGTTACGTTTAAGAAATGCGTGCACTAAAAAGCTTTTTAGTGTGTTACATTGAAATTTTACGTTTTCGAAATGTTACATTAGAGTGTTATATTTAAAAAAAGTACATTAAGAAATTTTTTTGAAGTGTTACGTTTAGTAATTTCAACATTATGAGAAAACTTACATTTGCCGCTTAACACATTACACGCGCGAATTTATACCTGGCCCTATATATAATTCACATTAAAATGAGACCTTTAGATCCATAAAAAAAAGGGAAAATTAGTCTAAGGTTCCTCTCCTATTTTTAGTAATGGAAGAGATCCACAATATTATTTTATAATGTCTAAGGTCCTTCAACTCCCACATTCATATATCACAGAGAAATTTGACTCTATGAAATATTATAAAATCGTTACATATATTTTTTTGTTCTAGGTTTCGATCAATCGCAACCATGGAAAGGGGTGGAGCCATGAGAGTAGCAGCGAAGGTAGTTGGAATCACCATCGTGAACGACAATCTTTGCGGCGTCCCGTCGATATCTCCAGCGGAACATCAAGTCAGCTCAGCCACTCACAGAGCCAGTCGTCCTATCTCATCTATCATTGCTTCTTCCGAAGAGGTGAATCGGAACATCTTGACAACTTTTCAGAACAATCCAATCGACGCTGCGTCATAGAGGTTGTGTTGGGAGCTCGACGATTGGGAGTTGAAAGTTCTGTTGAGTGCTTCGAAAGTTAAAATCATAAATATGGCAAATATTTTTTGATTGTATAAATATATATATATATATATAGAGAGAGAGAGAGAGGGGTCGGACTTGGGAAAAAGGAAATTGATGATGTGTACCCTTCTCTCCAGTAGAATCCCACTCTTTTTATTGTGTTTGTGAATTGTGATAATGTGCATATATATGAGTCAACTGATTTCTTGTAAAAAAAATGATTTACTATTATCATTTCAGTAGAATTTAAGAATTTATCCATTGTCAATGACAAACTCATGTACGGAATGGAACATTTTGTCAGACCTGAAACAAGCAAATAGAAATCTCCTCCAACTTGGTTTGGATTTTGGGAGAACCTCTTTTTTTGATCTCATAACTAGTAAGTTTCTCCCACTCTTCTTATCGAGACTACTTATATTCAATAATTGATATTTGATTCTACAGAATTCAGGTTGTAGAGCTGGTAATAATTGTTGATTTTGCTAAATTCGACTTCACAGAGAAAATTGGTGCAGGGACATACCTTCCCTAGACTTTCCATTGCAAATTTCTCTGGTCTTCCCTTCTCTCCAGAGAAATTTTTTTCTCTGGCCTTCCGTATATTTCCCACTCTCCATTAGAATTAGGTAAGGATAGATATACCCTGGAAAATATGTAGATAAGTACAACAAAAATTTATTGAATTTCTTCAAAGAAAATGATAGAATTTCCCAAACAATTGTAGAAATTCTGAATCAATATCAACAATACAGCATATTCAAACAAGATGAAGCACATTACAATTTCTCTGGAGAGAAGGGAAATTTTTCTGGAGAGAATGGAAGGCCAGAGAAATTTATGTGGGAATTCTAGGGAATGTCAGAGAAATTGGAAAGTCCAGAATTTCTCTGGACCAATTTTCTCTTTTGAAGTTGAATTTTCTCTAGAAGTCTAGGGAATGACTTCTTCTCTTTCTTGTTTATGCTAAGGTATGGCAAGATCTTACTGTCAACCACCTCATCTTGTTGGACTTGATCTACAAAGAGCACTAGGATTAGCAAACAGAATTTTGATAGCCACCCTTCATGAAAAGATATTTGTAAAAGAACATATAAATGCACGATGATGCAGAGTCTCCTAGATTGTGTGAATTTTCTCTGAACCATCTGAATTTTCTCTGGATGTCTAAATTTTCTCTGGACTTCTGAATTTTCTCTGGATAAAGAGAATTTCTCTGGATATCTGGAGAGAATTCTCTGGAAAGTCCAGAGAAATTCTCTGGACCGAATTTTCTCTGGAATGATGTTGAGGGACCTTAGACATTATGAAAATATTGAGTGTCCTTTATGCTATAAATTCTTAATATCAGGGACCTTAAAAAAAATTTCCCTATATATATCTGTATATATTTTATTACATTATATATATATATATATATATATTATAATGTAATTTATGAGATTAAATTAGAAATAGAGTTAAGAAGTTGGAAAAATTATATGATCAAATTAAATTAATTGTATAACAAAAGAGATAGAATGAGAAATATAAAGGTAAAGGAAAAATAAATAAATAAATAAATAAATTGAAGGGTATTAATGTCATTTACATTTTTTGTTAATAGTGTTAGTATTGTATTTTAGTCCAAAACTAAAATAATTATTTCTAAATAATAAGGGATAAAGTACAAATGACCTCATCCGATAAAACGGATTTCACCCTTTATTTTTTAATCGCCGATTATTTTTCAATGATGCACTCAGTGATACGAGATATAGAGCAATTTTAATTTGACATAGGCTTGACTGGAGGTGTGGCTGAGACTTGTGAGATTGCCATGGGTCTTAGTCCAACAATCACAGTTCATTTTGCTAAGTTATGTGTGTATCTTATAAACATAGCTTATCATTTCATCACATTTCTTTCCCAAAAAAAAATAGATGGTATACTTTAAAAATTATTTTTTTTCGTTCATAATTTCGTTATGATTAGTAGATCAATATGATTTTAGCATGCATGAGAGCATTTCTAACGCTTACTCTCTTTTTTTTTTTTCTATCAAATTTAAATTTGATGAAATAAGTACAGTTTTACTACTCTAATCATGAACTCAAACCCATATCAAATTAGGAGAAACCAAAAACTTCCATCAAATTGAGGGAGACTTGAGCATTTCATCAAATTGAGAAGGTAGCCATTATTGTGGCAGGTAACCGTACACCGGATGTCCGATCGGTTGTTCTCCCAAACAACCTTGTGCTTGCAAAAATGAAGAGAAATTTACTTAAGTCGGTCAACCGCTCGAACATTCTCCCGATCAACTAGTTATTTGATGAAAATTGAAAATTTAGCGTTGGAACACTTGGTATCAGATGAAACTTTTAATGCAAATCTTTACTCAAATTTAGTATATATAGATATAAAGAGTAAGCATTGAAGATGCTTTGCCCCAACAAAAATGAATGGTTTAAATCGGAGGAAACCCGTGATGGACAAGAAAAAATTCAATCAAACAGTTATACCATGTCAAATCAATTATTACCTCCCATGTATGTGTATTCAGGCCTACTATATGTATATCTGTCAATCAGTGGGATGAGTTGAATAGGTGGTTACAATTACATGGTGAGATTTACTTTTTTTATGTGGTATATTATTATTGGATGATGATACAACGTATGAATAATGACGTAATATCACCATTGTATTAAAGTTTTGGAAAAGTTTGGGATCCCAGAATTAGGGTCCTAGAATGGATATATGTAATGAAAATTAAATTGATAAAGTGTGGGGTTCACAAGTGAAATGAATTTAAACCATTAATTTTTGTTTTGGAATAAATTCGGAGTAGATAAATTTGAAATTTTAGTATTGTTGTAAGGTTTTACTCCGTCATGGACCTCAACAACATCGCTAAGTATTGTGTATAGAAGAAAACCTCACTTTTAATAAATTATAGAACTATAAATTAATTGGCTCAAGTTTGTCTTTAGTTCATTTTTGAGTTATAAACTCCCTCCATATCTCATCTTTATATATCTTTCTATATTCTTTTTATGGGTTTTAATTAGGACATGTGCTGATTATTCGAACCGTCTATTTTGTAGGCCCTACAATGAAAGTCATCCAAGCAAAAAATTAGCTTCATCAAACAACTACAAACAAATCACAATTTGTTTTATAAAATAGATAGTTCAAATTTAATTATATTTAACCATTCATTTTATAAAACAAAATGCGATTTATTTTTGTATTTACAACTTTTTGGTATAGTTGAGTTTGTCCATGAATGACCTTTATTGTGGGGTCTACGAGATAGATGATTCGGATCATTGATGCAGGTCCAAATTGAAACTTACAAAACGAGTATGGAGAGATATGGAGAGATGAGATATGAAGGGAGCTTATTCCGTTGTTGGGCTTTATGGGAGCCACCATGAAGCGGTAATTTAAATCATTCATTTTGTCAGATTTTGTGTAGATTATTCTAAAAAAAATAAAAATTGATCCAATAATTATAACTATATAATTTTTTTATATTTTTCATCAAAAATTTGAATGGTCAATTTTTAAAATTATACTGTTGTTCGTTTTTGTGAAGTTATATCTAATAAAATTACATAGTAAATATAATTAAAGAATCAATATTATTTTTGTGTACATATAAAATCTAACAAAATAAATAGTTCAAATCGTGAAAATAACTCTTATAATGAGCCATACAAAACCCAACAGTACCCTATGTGGATTTTATGTGGACCAGAGAAAAGCAAATATTTCAAATCATCGAAATGAAGTCATAATAAGTCACGAAGCCCAACAGTACCTTATGTGTGGACCGGAGAAAAGCTCATTCAAATTAATTAGAATCAATGAAATTGAGTTATACAAAACAGCATGTTATATATAAAGAAATAAATAGTGGTAAAAGATTGAATTACCCTTGTTCCTTGCTGTAATAGCAACATGCAGGAGTGGTTCGCCATCCTTGAGCATATTTTGAGCGTCAACATTCGAAGCAACGTATTGCATCATAAGCTCAAAGAGCTCCTGATACCCTGCTTCAGCGGCCATAGACAAGGGTGACTTTTTTTCCAGATTCGGAAAACATGAACGTGATGCAGCCCGCAAAAACAAAGACAAGGCCACCTCGTATCGATGATCCTTTACGGCCATATGCAATGGAGTATTCCCTTGTTTATTTTGCCCTTTTATGACATTTAAAACCTCCTGCACCCCTGCTTCAGTTGCTCGGCCCGAAGAAATTGCAAACTGGAAAGCATTAGTGATCAAAGACTCGACTATAGACAGATGACCACCAGCTGCAGCAAGATGTAGAGGATGATCATCGTTGCAGTTTTTGCTCTTGAAAAGGTCTGGGCAGCGACTTTGGATTGGTTTCACTAGATGGTGATGGCCTAGTCTTGCGGCGATATGAAGAATCGTGTCGTCTCGCGGGGTGAGTTGTTTGACAAGATTGAGTTCGGGGTCTTGTTGTAGTGCTGTTGTCAGGCCATGGATGTCTCCAGCTATAGCTGCCCTGTATATTGCAGCATCCATAGAATTAGATCTCCCAAAATCAGACGCCTTATATTCGTATCTGTCATGTGTATACCGATCCTTTTTTTTTGTAAAATCCATTCCCCTGTCTGCATGCATCTGTATCTCACCTGCAAGCAAAGTCCTTACAAACACCGTTGGAGACCCTGTCGCCATCGTATCTCTTTCAGACGTACGGCTTGCACCACTCTCTCTCTCTCTCTCCTCTGTGTTAATAAAACCTGATCTGTTGTCTATTTCCATCTGTGTGTCAGATACAGTCAGACGCACGGCCTAGCACCTCGCTCCCTCTGTGTGTTTGTGTTTGGTTGTTGTCCTCCTTCTATTAGTGTTTGTGTGGTTAATACATATAACTGCCGGCCTATCATATATATATCTATATCTATATATATAAGAATTGCTTGAGATTCCTCTTTTCTTTTTGATTTTGTTGTTTTATTTTGAATAATTTACTATGTGAGTGTTTGAAAAGTGAGTTTTTATGTAGGTTTTTTAAGTTGTAGGATATTATTAGATAAAAAATTTTTGGTATTTGGAAAGATAATTGAGTTTTTTTGTGGTTGGATGTGATGTTTGTGAGAGAAAAAGTAAAATGATTATAGGGTTGGATGTGATATTTTGTTTGGATTTGTTTTTTTTTTATTTTGTAAAAACTTTGTCTTTTAGTGAAAAAAAAAAAAAAAAAAAAAACCCAAACCAAAATCTTGCCAAACACCGCCTATTAGTGGGTTAGGTTTCTTTAAAAACTAAATATATATTATTAAATTATAATATTGAAAAGAAAACATAGTTGAAAAAAAATTTTGCAGCACAAAGAACTTCCTCTCTCTCTCTCTCTCTCTCTCTCTCTCTAATTTGCTCGTTTGAGAATTGGGGAAAATCACAAAACAACAAAACTGAGAGAGATGAATTAGGTGATGATCATCAAAGAAAGAAACAAACTAGAAAAAACCTAGAAGAAACTCATTATCATCATCATTATCGTCATCATCATTCTTCTATTGTTTCAGTTCAAAACTCTGTGTTCTTCCACTGTTATAGTTCAAAACTCTATGTTTTTCTATTGTTGTAGTTCGAAACTCTATTTTCTTCCATCCAGATATCATAGGGGCAAGGTTAGCACTGTTTTTGTTTTGCAACTACATATAGGTATGTGTTGGTAAGGATGTATGATCAGAACTGTTTAATAATTTATTAAAGTTAGATTTGAGTTTTTCTTTCGAGATGGAATGATATAGTATTATATATCTGTGTATATATATATATATATATATATGCTTATTAATTAGATATTTTTGTGAATGTGAACGCAAGCATATCCACTAAAGTCATTGTTATTGTGGACTATTAGATTTTAATGTTTTGAATTTGGTGATGTGAACCTCAACATTAGAAACATGTGATAGTTGCATGATGTGCAATGTAAACTGATGATTGTATGATTGTTGCATAATATGAATGTTCACATTCACATATTACTAATTATTGTATGAGTTTTCATGATTTTTACATGATTATTACATGGTGTGAAAGTTCGCATCGGTGTTGTGATTATCACATCTTTAATCAGTGTTAATATTTACATTTAGAAATAGTCATATAAGCATAAATAACAATGTGATATTTTGGTCAGAACATATTGTGCATCTTAGTAATATAACATAGAGATGTGAATGTTCACATCAACATTCGTGAATGGTTATATGCACACAATAACAAACAATTACCAACAATGTGAAAATTCACAATGTCTCTATAATACCAAAATAACATGACAACATTAATCATGTATTACTCACAACAATTCACAATTAATGTTAATATTCACATCAAAAAATAGTCATACACTAGCATAAACAATGTGAATATTCACAGCGTATGGTCCTATGAGGGAATATTATTTATCAGTATGCATTTGTAATATGAAAGTTCACATTAACATTTAATGAGAGATTTTCAAAAGGTAGAAGATTTATAGTTTTAGGAATGTAAGAGATTTTTTTATGGAATAAATGGGAGATTTTCTCCATAGAATGAAGGAAATATTTTCTTTATAGAGTAAGGGAAAGATTTTATTCCTGAAATGTAGAGATTCTCCCTAGAATAAGGATATATTTTTTCCATGGAATGAACGACTTTTGTTTTTTTTTTTTATTGTGTATTAATTTCAAAATGAAAACATGCACAAAAAGTTGGAAGGGTGATTTGGTTATATTATTCTAAACAAGACCTAATGGAATATTAAAAAAGAAGATGGATTAAATGGAATATAACAATTAGGAATTGGACTTTCTGAAAAATCACCCATCTTTTTTTTTTATTTTATTTAACTCTTAATAATATTTCACATTAAAATGGAGAGTGTAAGGATCATACCCTTATTAAGTTTGAAAAAGTTATTTCAACTTGAATAGATAATTAAAAATCACTTTCTCCATTTCAGCTCGTTTCAAACGATTTTTCATTATCTTTCAAAACTCTTGATCATCCATCGTGTTGCTATTATGCGGGGTATATACGGTCGTAAAATATGTCATTTGAATTGATTATTAATAATATCAAAATAGTTAGAATTTTAATGACAAATTATAATAACAATCCCTATAGTTTAAAACTTGTGTCACTTTGGTCCCTAATTTCTCAATTGTGACGCATTTGACACAGAATTTTGAATCTTGTTCCAAATAAGGACAGTTGAAAATACCATTCACTACAGGAAAACATAGCAAAAAACACGGAGCTTTTAGCGACGCCGCGCCCCCCGTTGCAAAAAACGGTTTTTTGCGACGGTAACGTCACCCGTCGCAAATAATAGCCTTTAGCGACGGCACTTACCCGTCGGTAATGAAACTAAGCGGAGGGGTCGGAAATGCGGAAGTATTAGCGACGGTAAAGAAAACCGTCGCAAAACACCTTTTTTTTGAGACGGCATATCTCATTTGCGACGGAAATTTGCCGTCGCAAAAAAGTATTAATTCAAACGGCGCCGTTTTACGAACTACTGCCTTCTATTTGCGACGGTCTACAGCATACCGTCGCAAAAAGTCAAAATAAAAAAATCCCCCCTCTTCTTTTTCCTGTTGCCGCTCGATCCTTCCTCCCCAAATCCCTAACTTCACCCCCAAATTTCTCAAACGGGCTACGAGCAAGACAGCGGTGGTGCGGCGAGCAAGCCGTCGCCAAAGCAGGAAAACAATACACCTGTAATTCCTAATAATTCATTCAATCCATAATAAACCTATAATTTTAAATCATCATTCAAATTAACTGAATCATTAACATTCGACACAATACATAATTCATTAACATTCGACACAATACAACTATTCTAAGTTTCATTCACAAGTCACATCCATCTAGCATAACAATTTGAAACATAACTATTTGTTATCCATGCGCAGCTATCAACAAATAAAACTACTAATATTTGTTATCCATACACATCCATCCAAAAATATTTAATCCTCCTAAAAATGCTTATACTGCCAAGTAGTCTTGTACAATTTAACTTCGTGAACTTGTTTAGAAATATGTTGGGGAGGATGGTCGTCTAGTTCGTGAACAGACATGATTGATTCTGGCCTTGAACCCTTTGTTGAAGTTACTCTCTACCCAAACCATGAAAAAAATCAATATCTTTATTATTGTTCAAAAAGAAAATAACTTAAACAGGGTAAGAACATATCGAAGAAACAACCCTATTTCCAGCCCGTCGGTCACCATTACCATTAGAGCTAGATTTCCCAACTTTTGATCCACTTTTCAATGATGGCCCCATCGATATTGTTTTAGCCACGTCAAATGTTTTTGGGAACAAAGAAAAATTATGTCACTATGGAACAGCACTACCAAACAAAGATAATAAAATCTCAACAAACTTCACTACAACATACCTTGAAAAGTCCCAGAGTGCTTCAGTCGTTCAAGAACAATAGCTAAGGCAGGTCCTTGAATATCTTTCAAATTCTTGGTCACCTAGTCATGTAACAAGACAATAAACTCAGGAGTTCTGCTAGTTCTTTCACAAAAACCAAAGGAGGCACCAAAAATTTTTGTCTACATACTGTATCAGGACCACAAACTCTGAAAATTTCACCAATGCATACTTAATCTGTTTTATGAACATCTGCTGATTTATCCTATATATAAATGCAAAACCATGCAATTAGAGCTATAAACAACCCCAAAATAAGAAACAACCAGGAACAAAATAGTGAACCCAACTCAACGTTAAAGGTTTGCAATTTTTTATAGCAATTTTTTATATTTTAATAGCAATTGAAAAACAATGTTAAAGGTTTGCTCATACGGAACTTAGTTCTACAGACTATAGCAAGGAAAGAATGCTATTGAAACTTGAACAAAAAAGGCGCTCTAAATTTGCCGCGATTTTTCCATCAATTTCCATCTCTTGCACGACCCCTCTCTTGCGTTCTAAAGTCACAGCTTATGCTGCTACAGTCTAAGGCATCAGTGCCACCACCATATCAGCAGCACTCACGCCCATCTCACAGCTGCAGCTTCAGATCCAGCTCAGCTTCTGTTCCTATATCTGTCTGTTAGAGATATTAGATATTTGTTAGAGTTAGATATTAGTTAGAAGATTGGTTACAAGTTTGTTAGACAAGTTGTTAGATAGTTAGACAGTTAGAATAATTGAACCATGTTTACTAACAGACGGATATACCTCAATCTTGACATATACTCATGGGTATTTAAAGAGGGACCTCTTTTATTCTTTTATCATTCTCTAGCTTATTAGGATATAACCACTCAGATATTGCTAGAAAATAATCATCCAGGAGGAGAATATTTATAAATATAATACACTGCTTACTGTTTAATACTAATATATCATAACCACACTTCAGAATGCATCTTCTGCCCTCTACAGGTCCAACACCAAGTCTGCAGTGTAAACAATAGAACTAAGTGAGGTTAATTACGAAAATAGTTGGACCACTGTAATAATTATATCTACATTAGTGCCTTACATGCTACAAATTTTCAGGAGGACATGATATCTGAACCCATATATGACTTGTACTAATTAGAGAATGTAAGTGTGAAACTAGATTGGGACCTCAAGTAGGATGGCTTCCCTTCATGCATATCGAGAAAATTTAGTTACATCTTCAGCAACCAAATAGTGATAATAAATTCCAGGATCTACGGTCCATAATCTAGTCTCTGTCACACTATAATCACCAGACTCTGGAATGTAGATTGGATTTTGGGATGGGAGATATATATGTACTTACAGCCTGCATCTGTTTTGATCCAGAATTTCCTGTTCGCATTTGAATCGCTTCCACTGAGTGTGACTTGGGGTGGGTTGGAGTGGCTCTTGAAGAGTCTAATGCTCTCTCTTGAGAGGGCTCTCTGAGGAAATATCGTGATATCTTCGTCTGGGAGCATTCCAACTCCATTATTGTAAACCCCTCTCATAGGTGATGTTGTTCTTTATGTCATTTTTACAAGGCTTAAGAGATTTTCGTACAGCCGTGGAGCTTTCAGGATGGACTTTCCTGTGGAACATGTGGAGGATCTGTATGCAGTAATTTGTTGAATTAGGAAACCAATCAGAGAGTACATAACCTGGACTTGCTAATGCATCCTGTAGGATTCAGATTCAGTGAAATACTCGGAAAAGCTTAGTGACAACCATCTGATTGGTATATTGACACTTCACATTATGTTCTTTGTAATTGAATTACAGATGATATTGTGCTTGGAGCAATGGTAAAATGCTCGGGATGCCAAGCATGAGAACATGGGTTTCAATATGAGGGCAGCCACTTTGTGCATATTATATAGAAGATCAAGTCTGTATCCAGTCTATCCCTCCTAACATCCTCAATTATGGGGATATTTTTTTTTTTTATCTTAATGGTACCGACAAAACCACGTCTAGGAGATGCAGTGCTGTGTGTGCTCATTTCAGAAGATTTAGTATCTAAACCTATGTTAGGTAGACACTTCAAAATAAATCAAATATTTGTATGTGTCTGACACTTTCCATCGGATGCTTCTTACATATTTACATTTAACACTATCATTATATATATATATATTGTTGTATAATTGATTTAAAATAAGTAAAATGCCTTTTTGACACTATATGTTTCCATTTTGTCTCACATAATATATTAAAAATAATATATAAAAAAATTGACCTTTTTTTGCCGAGTTTGCATACCTTAAATTTGAGATTTGTTGGGTCCGGCATTTTGATATGCATTGCACTCAAGTTCATGTAATAGAGGTCTAAACTAGAAGTACACATACCTTTTGCAGTTTTGTCTCAGATGAAGCAGAGTCAACATTTCCCCCAGTCGATGTGGTGCAGCTCCGAGAAGAACCATGAACCATTCTTTTCTTCAGCATCTTTTTCATGAGGTGTATGGCTGATTTATCTGTCTCCTTTTCTGTCCGTTTTTCTCCCCTCTCGCTTTTGTCTACATAATTTTCCTCTGCTATTTTTGTCCTCTGAAACAGCTCCCCAAGCGATATTCTATGTTCCTTCTTTACCACTGTGGTTGTTTCTGGCAACTCAATTGCTGATACAAACAGATAGCCCTGGAGTGGACAGATTATTGTTCCATTCCCATTGGTCTCTGTGCCTTCCAATCTTTTTGACACTATATGTTTCCATTTTGTCTCACATAATATATTAAAAATAATATATAAAAAAATTGACCTTTTTTTGCCGAGTTTGCATACCTTAAATTTGAGATTTGTTGGGTCCGGCATTTTGATATGCATTGCACCCAAGTTCATGTAATAGAGGTCTAAACTAGAAGTACACATACCTTATGCAGTTTTGTCTCAGATGAAGCAGAGTCAACATTTCCCCCAGTCGATGTGGTGCAGCTCCGAGAAGAACCATGAACCATTCTTTTCTTCAGCATCTTTTTCATGAGGTGTATGACTGATTTATCTGTCTCATTTTCTGTCCGTTTTTCTCCCCTCTCGCTTTTGGCTACATAATTTTCCTCTGCTATTTTTGTCCTTTGAAATAGCTCCCCAAGCGATGTTCTATGTTCCTGCTTTACCACTGTGGTTGTTTCTGGCAACTCAATTGCTGATCCAAACAGATAGCCTTGGAGTGGACAGATTGTTGTTCCATTCCCATTGGTCTCTGTGCCTTCCAATGGCTTTTCGCTAAGTGTAATGGTGCTACCATGGCTGCTTCTTCCAGTGCTAACATAACTATTTCTTCCAGTACTAACATGACTGTTTCTCCCAGATGAGTCATTGCAACCATCTCCTTCAGCCCCTATCACCTTCTCCAACTCATCATTAATAAGCTTCAGTTCATTCTCTGTTACTTCTGTTTCTTTTTCAGTTATGTTCTCAACTGATGTGGCAAATGTTGGCGTTGATGGGTCTGTGATGACTGGGTCCGAACCAAGAGTACCTATGGTAAGGAAGCCATGAAAGAGCTTGGAAATCGCAACTGAAGATTCTTCTTCAAAGTCGTCTGCTTCTACTCTTGCTGCTTCTAGGCTGAAAAGTGATTTTTGCAGATGGTTGTCTCTTTGTGCTTTGCCTAAGGATTTAGTGCCAAAATTTGACTTTGGGTAGTACTGTTGGTCATCCAGTGATGGCTTCCCTGAAAGACAAGTACAAGAATTCCCTGACAGAAGAAATGTTAAATAATTGGGATAATGGTGAGGTTAGTTGGGAGGGATGTCATGTAGGTTTGTGTTTTCAAATGCATCTCAAAAGAATTAATGGCATATTATGCTTTGCTGTTGTTTTAAATATTATGGATCATGACTCATGGGCTTGTTGATGCTTACCATTATCTCAATTTTCAGTACAGGAATCGGGGACGTGTAGAAATAGCAATGGAGGAATATTGATTGGGAAAACAATTAGCATTATACTCAAAAGGGAATGTCAAGTGTAACAATCTTACAGTATGTAGTTCATTCAGTTGAACTTGAAGCTGTACTCCAGCTATAAATAAGCATGCAGCATGGAGAGTTGCTAAGTACACAGGTCTTATGCAGTTAATTATTTCCAGGTATGTAACAGCTACTTTGCTTTGAAGCTGTCTTTCCTAAACAACACCTGACTTATCGAATTTCCAGTGATCTACTGATTATGCTACTAGATTATATTGGTCTTACCACAAATATTATAATGACTACTCATGATTATGTTTAATCCTGCACTTACAGTCTGACTCTAATATGTGCACCAATCTTTTCATTATTGCTTTAGCAAAGCGTTAGAAGAAAAATATGTAAGGGTATACATGACTTACCTACGCTAAAATCCTTCAGTGGTTCATTCGCCCGGAACTTGCGATGCATCCAACCAAGTAACTGCAATCAAGATATATGAAAATATGAACTCTGCAAATACAAAATAGAAAATAACAAAAAGTCAAAGCACTACAAAATTTTGGTGGTGAATGGCCTATTCATCAACAATATTAGTAGGACATAACACAATACAATAAGCATTGCACAGAAGCAAAGCCAAAAGGACAAGCTGATGGCCACAAATTTTGCAGAGCAGGAAAAGTTGTAGAGCAAAAGAAATTGAAACATAATTTTAACCACAAAGAAGAAAAAAGTTTTCAAGCAACCCAACTTCAGCTTCATGCTCTCCGCATTATCACCATTGCACCAAGCAATAGTCCCACTTTCCACATAATAAGTGCAGGTTGAAAATCAATAAAGCAGAGGGGGTACAGAACCATAAAGAAGTGAAGCACAAATAGCACTGTCCTACAGGAAATTGAACTATAAACCAGAGGATGGTTTTTCATAACGTTAGATGGAAAGTAGAATGGAAAGAAAAACTAAAGTTCTAAGGGAGAATAATATATAATAGATTGTGGTCATTATAGTTGGCAAACATATAAAGGAAATAAGACATACTTTACAAAGGGCTCTATATTCCTTCTGAAGGCGCTTTACACATGCTTTCTCTGCCATCTAGCAGCTTCCACTGGTAAGAAAACAGCGGATCAATTCCCTAGTTTAAGTCCCTTGGTAGTCCCTTGATTTTGTAATATGTTGACTGGAAAACATAAGAGTCATCCTACAACTTGAGAATTAATGTGTGAACTAAAAATTTCTAGAGCAGAAAAATCAAGTCATGAATCTAATCAATACTTAAACAGGACAAATACTAAAAGGGATAATTTCTATTGCAAATTTCTTTGTAAAACTATATCTTATATAATGAATTATATCTCCATTCTCACTAATTTTTTTTAAAAAAAACTTGCATCAAAATGCATCAATGGGCAAAAAGTACATCTTTTTTTGGCCCTAGACTCCTTGTTTTTTTATTATCCTGTGTTGCTTCCTCTCCACCACCTCCACCAGACCATCTATCAGAGTTCTTCATATCAAAATCTGAATACTAGAAGAATCAAGCCAAATATAAGCATGGTCAAACACATAAACAGTTCTAAGCTTTATTATCCAATTCAAAGAAATTAGAAAAATATTACTTCTTCTAGATCAGTTTTTCAGATAGAAAACTTATCATAGTCCATCAAAAATTCCAACTCCTTATTCATCCATCTTCTTTTGTTGAAATATGGTTATAGAAATACTCATATAATGAAGCCTTTTCGAAAAATTATGGTAGTCAATCAAAAATACTAATAGATGTTTTCTTTCCCTTCCCGTCCAAAAATTTCAAACAAATTTTTAAGGTCTCTTTCACACTTTCAGGACTTTAAAAATCATCCATTAACTAATGACATCAAGATCCATAACCCTCAAAACAATTTTAGGAGAAAGCCATTGCTACGCTATCACGCCTATGGGCTATTCCTTCAACTATACAAATGTGAACAAACTTTATGATCTCTTGGGCTTTCTGAACCACACTTCAAAATGAATGATGCAGCAAATTCTGCAAGTTTGTACTTTTAGAAGAAGCTTTAAGGGCAATGGTTAGTTTAAAAAGGAAATTTAAGCTCCTTTAAGCATAACCCTATTAACCTCCCATCTCCACCTAGACAAAATTAAATGTTTAAACCTTAATGCAGGTGATGGTAATCCTATGATTTAGGGATCTCATGCATATTTTATTTCCTCTCTCTGAAATTGACTTAAAGATTTCTTAAAGCTCCCCATCTTTAAAAAATAAAAATAAAGAAGGAAAAGGACATTTTAAAGATGAGAGATCATTAGAAACAAGTGTGAGCACTTTTTGGGTTATGAAATTACATGCATTATTCCTTCACTGAAACAATATATACAGTTTTATCAGTTGCGACATGAAATGCCCATGGATTGAAATTCCTGCACAACCACGCATTGTATTGCCATCCAAGAGAACCACCCAAGCAAAACAAAAAATAGAACTTGCATTTCAAATATGTGATGGGAAAACTAAAACTGTGTTGATCTTGCATAAAAGCCCACAGCAAAAAATGCCAACAGCTATATTCTCATAACATTTCAAGTATTTGTACAACCAACATGTATTGCAAGTACTAGAGGAACTAATTCCAAAATTTGATACGGTGCTACAGAGCACATAACTAAGCATGTGGTATTTACAACTAAACATAAAATAATATTTTATGGCATTTATATACAACATTTAATTAAGAATAACATTTTGCCACTATTATTACGATATTCTAAAAAAGATTTCAGAACAATATTCTTAACCAGCTAGAAATTTTAAATATTGAGTTCTACTTGGGATCCTAATTCCTACCCATTCTCCCTGAATCACATGACGCAGTATTTGAATTTCAGAAAACCTGAACTAACTCTGCTATTTATATTTTAAACAAAATGAAGATACAGAACATATACAGCACTGACATAGCATCTATTATCAGAAATACAAAAGAGAATTATTAATATAAAACAAAGATACAACAAGAGAACAAGAAGTCCTCTACAATGAGACAAAACGCCTAGAAAAGGCAAAGGCAAAATAAGCCCTTAAATCACAAATCGCCATTTAATTCTTGTTACGCCACCTGACACAAGTTGGAAAAATATTAACAGTTTGATGCATATATAGAGGAAAACGTTGAATTGTAGAAAATCACACACTTAATTCTAATATAAGAGTTCAACATAACCACACAAAAAACAAAAAAAATATATATAGATTCCTTTTTGGAAAGAAACCAAAAATCAAATAACATAAACTGTTAGATTAACAAACAAATAAATACGAATCAGTAGGGTGAATGGGCATAGGGTCTAAATTTGCGTTCCCAGAAAATACTAATACCCTAGCAAATTATATATTAGTATGCACGTTTTGAAACATGACACACTTCCATTCGACAACAGTAAATTTAGTGATCTCAAAAGTTTTATTTAGACCATTCTCTAAATGAAGAATGATCTGAATAAAAATTTAAAAAATCTGATGCATAAGTTAAGAATATGCAACTCCGTAATAAGATGTCAAAAACTACTCTAGGTTCAAAATCACACAATCCATCATATTGTGTTAATCACTAAAATTACACAAAATTAACAACCATCAAGGTTCAAAAGTCCTACCAATTTTGACACTGAGGCCTTGCATCCCGGAGACAAGGACGTTAGAGGCGAAGAGCCGCCTCATAGTCTCGCGTCCGTACGCAGATAGCTGTCTGCTGTGCAGATCTTCATCGATATCCATCGGATTCCCATTACCAAAAGCCATATCCGGCAATACTCTAATACTAGCGCTGCTTAGGTTACTACTGCTGCTACCGATAATACTGTTATCGCTCTTGTTATAGTCCTTGGGCGTCGTATTAGCTTCAGTGGCTGTTGATTTTCCGGTGGAGGATTCTGATGAAGAGATGTGAGCAACAGTGGTGAGGGACTTCGGTGAGCTAGAGAGAGTGGGCACCGATTGAGAGAAAGAACACAGAGAGGGAGAGGGCGGACCGAGACACAGAGAGCGAGATAGAGACGAGGGAGATTAGGGCTTTTTTATTTTAATTTTTTTTTCTGCTTTCATAGTACAAAACGACGTCGTTTTAAAATTGGCGACCAAATTTATTTGTCGTAAAAAAATTTCAATTCCCGCCCCACAAAAAATCAAATTTCCCTCTCAAACTTTTAGTGACCAAAAGACCATATTAGTTGCAGAAAAGGTACCTTCGCCGACAAACTTTTTTAGTTGCCAAATCTCAATCAACGGCGACTAAAATATTAGTCACTAAAAGTAAAAATTTGGCGACTAATTTTTTTTGGTTGCTGAAAATAAGTTTTTGCCAAAAAATATGTGACCTTCGGCGACCAAATTTGTAGTTGGTCGGCAAAAGCATACCACTTTCTACGACCAACTCATTTTTTGGTCGCCAAAATATAACCTGCTGCGACCAATAATATTTGGTCGTAAAAAATAATGATTATTCTCGACTAATTAATATTTGGTCGCCAAAAGGTAACTTTTAGCTACCAACTTTTATATTAGTCGCGGAAAGTGATCGCTAAAAGTGCAAATTCTTGTAGTGTATAGTGAGTTTCGTGCTAAAATATATAATTAAAAATTAATTTTCTATTGCAATCCGTTCTAAGTGTTAGAATCATGAGGATCCAAAATCACATTCTCATTCCTCTAAAGATTCATATCATCTAAACTTAGTGTATGTTGATCTAGCCTACATTTGGCTGGAAGTTTGGGAATTGAATTTGGAAACTTTTTGTAAGTTTCCTAAAATAATTAATTTTAGTGCTGAGCCTAGTGTTTTATTTATTTATTTCATTTTTTATTCCTCTTATTCATAAAACATACAATGGTTTCCTCTAACTGACATATAACCATTTTTAAACTACAAATCTTGAAACGTAGTCTTAAAAGAAAAGGAGAAGAAAAAAAAAAAAAAGCCTCGAGCGATTTTTAGCCATGGCTGCTGGGAACTTGGGATTGGTAAGTTTCCTGCATTACATTGTAATTTCAACAGCAAATTCAGTTCCACATTTTATTTATATATATTGGTCTCATCTCATCTAATCTCCTCATTATGTTTTCCTATAAACTTCATATCTTTTCTTCTTCTAAATCACTTCCTGGTTTTTTACTCTCTGTATTCTCAATCTATACACACGCACATACACTTTTTTGGTTGGTTATTTACCAGTTCTCGAACATGTTTTTCAGGTTTATGATAGATTACTAAATAATTACTACTTTCTTTGGAGTTGGAATATCATCTCTGGATTGATAGAAGTATAATTTTATTATTATTATTGTTATTATTTTTAGACTTTCATTTATAGCAAGGTAAATGATATGCCCACAATTCTGGGCAAATTAAAGTTGTTGTTCTTTATATATATATATATATATAATTTGCAACAACAAACCATTTTTAATTCTATAATATGAAAAAAGTTATATAGAAATTTAAATTAAGTTTGAAATTAAGAAACTGGTGTATCAGCTCCCTTTTTTATCAACTGGTGGAAAGTTCTACATTTAGGGGAAGTTGCCTAGAGGATTCTACAAAATAGAAGACTTTGAATCACATCAACTGCCTCAAAGAGATTATTAACAAAAGAACTATTACTTAACCCATTTCTTGTACTTGGTGAAGATGACTTCAAAATTCAATTAAAACAAACGGAAATATATATTTTTCATCACCAAATATGCAACAAATTCTGCGTTGCCCTAATTTCAATAATATCTCACCCCAAGCAACTGTTACCTAAGCAATGTAAATAACTTATATCCATCTTTGGATGATATTACCAGTGTATAATCTGTAACGCCCCAAAATAAATAACAATAACCTAACTCATAACCTTACTTACAAATGATCAACAACATCCTATCTTCTTTTTCATTTATAACTTTAATCAATTACAAAACATGACATATGCGATATACATTCGCAAATCCTAGATCCTGAATCTATAGCATATGGCATAGATACATGTCAAAAATAAAAGTAAAACCAAATCATTATATGCCCTAACGGCTACAACTTTCCAAGTCAATGCTTGGGTACAATAAAATGAGTTTAACTCAATACAGGTAAAGCTCAAAGCTTAAACAAAAATAATTATATCAATAAACAAAAATGAAGCTCTTAGCTCCAAGTTTTCCCAAGCCACGTCCTTGGTGGAGACATATCATCAACACCTAAAAGTTAATTTTCACATAGGGTAAGCCAAAACCCAGTAGAGATACTC